GCAGATGATGAATCTGCCGTTGGGATCCACGTATGCTCGTTTAAGTTGAAAATCAAAGTTGTTATTGAATAGAATGGCAACTCCTCCTTTAGCACTGGTACAGCAGCTGAAAATTTTTTTGTATCCCCATTCAGCGGACCATAAAGGGATCGTGATTTCTGAGCAGTGCACTTCTTGAAGCATGTAAATTGAAAACTCTTTCCTTCTGAGCCAATCAAACATTTCTCGTCTTTTCAGTCTGTCCCCGAGTCCTCTCACATTAAGAGAGCCTATTTTAAGATCCGTAAACTTAGCAGAGAAGAGAACATTAGGAAAAAACCATGCAGAGAAACTAAACTAAAATCATTGTGGTTATTATAGCAAAAACATGATGTTTGTGTTTTGAAGCAAGCGGAATAAATACAAAAGAAGGCGACAAAAAGCACACATAAAAAAGTTTCATTGTCAGTTTAAGTCCCAGCAGAGTTGACTGTCATAATCATAATAGGTGGATGGGTCAGCTCATTAGTCCTTGCGATTAATTTGCATAGATTTTTTAAAAAAAAATTGTTTTGTGAATAGAAGAGGGAAAAGGATAAATTACTTTAAGTAGGCTGGGATATTCTTATAATCATATCTTTCGTTATTAATTAAAAGATATCGTCCAACAACCTCCGCGTTTGGATGCCCTTGACTTTCCCTTGCCTTCATCAAAGCTTTGATTAATACTTTTCTTTATCTTGTATCGCTTTCGCGAAATCTTCGGTTATGTAGGCATCGGAGTAATTCTTTGAATACTTTATCTTACCTCTGTTGCTCCAAATTTCGTTCCTGTCTCTAAGGCTGATGAAACGGGCGATGATGGGTCTGCATCTATTCTGGATTTTCTTACCCACTCTGTGAACTGCATGGAATTTTATGTTCGACGCGTCTATGCCCATTTCGTTTTGAATTACGCCACGAATTAGAGCTTTACAATCCTCGCCTTCCTGCTCTGCAATATTGTTGAAACGTAAGTTTTCTCGACGGGTGTATTATTCAAGCTTAATATTTTCTCCTACCGCAGTTTCCAATTTCTTTTCCAACTGTGCTACTCTCATGCTGAGATCTTCCAAACCTTCTTTCATTTCCTCCATGTTTCTCTTTGAATCTTCCTTCAACGTGTCCACCTCGTCTTGTGTAAATCTCACGCTTTCTTTTAGCGATTTTACTTCACTTTTCATTTCTTTTATCTCATGTCTGAATTCTTGTCTAAGTTTTCCGAAGTCGGCGCGTAAGCTGGCGAGTCCCGCTTCCATAGCTTTGATCAAGGCGTCGATAGAGCTTCTAATGTCTTCGTGGTCTCCTTGTTCGTTCATCATGTCGGACTCACTGTGAGTCGAAGAGCCTGATCCTCTCTGTTTTCTTTTTTTTTGCTTTCTTGCTTGCCATAAATTAAATGCTTTGCATTTCCTAAACTGAAATAAATAGTCGGTGATTGATTTAACTGTTATTCGCTTTGAAAACGGATCTGAGAGACCATGCTTTACGGAGCGTTAGAACCTATGTCTGTACGCCATGATGCCAGGCCTCCCATTCCATTTTATAGTCAGAGCTAACGTGACTGGAATTGTTAACAACGTTCTCCGAACGTCGCTCCTTTGTCAAGAACGTTCTTGGAACTCCTTTGCAACCTCGCCTTTTTGTTGCACGCTGACCAAACAACACTGCATTGTTTACTGTAAAAAAAGTACATGGTATAGCTTTTATTTTAGTTTTTAAATTTAATCAAAGTGGTGTTTTCATCACGAAATTTTGGTTAATGGTTAATTTATGGTAGATGTGGGTTAATGTAGTAGAACATGGCTAACTAAGGGTAGATATGGGGGTTAACGTGGTAGAACATGGTCAACTAAGGGTAGATGTGGGTTAACGTGGTACAACGTGGTTAGCTTAGGGTAGATGGTTAACGTGGTACAACATAGCTAACTAAGGGTAAATGTGAGTTAACGTGGTAGAACATGGTTAATTTATAGTAGATGTGGGTCAACGTGTTAGAGCATGGCTAACTTGAGGAAGATGTGGGTTAACGTGGTACAACATGGTAAATTTATGGTAGATGTGGGTCAACGTGTTAGAACATGGTTAACTTAGGGAAGATGTTGGTCAACGTGGTAGAACATGGTTAACTTGGTTGTGAAACGTAGTAGAGCTTAAGCTCATGGGGTACAAAACGGTTAACTTAGGGTAGATGTGGGTTAACGTGGTAGAACATGGATAGCTTAGGGTAGATGTGGGTTAACGTGTTAGAAAATGGTTAACTAAGGGGAGATGGGTGTTAACGTGGTAGAACATGGTTAAAATAGGGTAGATGTGGGTTAACGTGGTAGAACATGGTTAACTTATGGTAGATGTGGGTAAACGTGGTAGAATATGCCTAACTCAGGGTAGATGTGGGTTAAGGTGGTACAACATAGCTAACTTAGGGTAAATGTGAGTTAACGTGGTAGAACATGGTTAACTTAGGGTAGATGTGGGTTAACGTGGTAGAACATGGTTAACTTAGGGTAGATGTGGGTTAACATGGTAGAACATGGCTAACTTAGCGTAGATGGAATTAAACGTGGTAGAACATGGGTAACTAAGGGTAGATGTAGGTTAACGTGGTAGAACATGGTTAACTTAGGGTCGATGTGGGTTAACGTGGTAGAACATGGCTAGCTTGGGGTAGATGTGGGTTAACCTGGTAGAACATGGCTAGCTTAGGGTAGTTGTGGGTTAACGTGGTAGAACATGGTTAACGTATGGTAGATGTGGGTTAACGTGGTAGAATATGGTTAACTTATGGTAGATATGGGTCAACGTGGTAGTACATGGCTAACTTATGGTAGATGTGGGTTAACGTGGTAGAGCATGGCTAGCTTGGGGTAGATGTGGGTTAACGTGGTAGAACATGGTTAACTTAGGGTAGATGTGGGTTAACGTGGTAGAACATGGTTAACTTAGGGTAGATGTGGGTTAACGTGGTAGAACATGGTTAACTTAGGGTAGATGTGGGTTAACATGGTAGAACATGGCTAACTTAGCGTAGATGGAATTAAACGTGGTAGAACATGGGTAACTAAGGGTAGATGTAGGTTAACGTGGTAGAATATGGTTAACTTATGGTAGATGTAGGTTAACGTGGTAGAATATGGCTAACTTAGGGTAGATGTGGGTTAACTTAGTAGAACATGGCTAACGTATGGTAGATGTGGGTTAACGTGGTAGAGCATGGCTAGCTTAGGGTAGATGTGGGTTAACGTGGTAGAACATGGTTAACTTAGGGTAGATGTGGGTTAACATGGTAGAACATGGCTAACTTAGCGTAGAGGGAGTTTAACGTGGTAGAACATGGTTAACTTATGGTAGATGTAGGTTAACGTGGTAGAATATGGCTAACTTAGGGTAGATGTGGGTTAACTTAGTAGAACATGGCTAACTTATGGTAGATGTGGGTTAACGTGGTAGAACATGGCTAACTTGGGGTAGATGTGGGTTAACGTGGTAGAACATGGTTAACTTAGGGTAGATGTGGGTTAACATGGTAGAACATGGCTAACTTAGCGTAGAGGGAGTTTAACGGGGTAGAACATGGTTAACTTAGGGTAGATGTGGGTTAACATGGTAGAACATGGCTAACTTAGCGTAGATGGAATTAAACGTGGTAGAACATGGGTAACTAAGGGTAGATGTAGGTTAACGTGGTAGAATATGGTTAACTTATGGTAGATGTAGGTTAACGTGATAGAATATGGCTAACTTAGGGTAGATGTGGGTTAACTTAGTAGAACATGGCTAACTTATGGTAGATGTGGGTTAACGTGGTAGAGCATGGCTAGCTTAGGGTAGATGTGGGTTAACGTGGTAGAACATGGTTAACTTAGGGTAGATGTGGGTTAACATGGTAGAACATGGCTAACTTAGCGTAGAGGGAGTTTAACGTGGTAGAAC